CTGGCCGTTGCTGGCTGTTGTTGCTGGGATTATTACGGGGCGTATGCCCCACTGATTAGCTGTTGCCAATTTTTGCCGGCAATAAAAATTAGTCGCAAGGCACGAATGTGGATTTGCTGTTGTTCGATTTCGGTTCGGTTTTTGGTTCCTTTTCAAATTTGAATTTGAATTTGAATTTGAGTTTCGAATGCAAAAATTGAAAACTCTTTTCGTCGATTTTAGTGGCTGGCTGGCTGCCAATCGAACGTTAATTAATTACGATTTATTGACTAAATTTGTTGATTAGACAATTGACGTCTGTCTGTGTTGCCTGTTGCCTCTATTGCCTATTACCTGTTGCATTGGTGGCTGCTGCTGCTTTTATTGCTTTTTTTTTGGAGCATTGCTTGTTGCCACACATTCTGCCCGCTTGCCACAATTGTCGTCAATTAATTTTGTTTTGATTTTACTGATTTGATATGCCGACGCCGCCTCGCAGGTGGCATTGGACTGGAGATTTCAATGTTTCGTATTCACTTGAAAATTGCTTCCAAATCGAAGCGAATCAATCATTAATTACACAGATAAATCGAACGAATGTCTTGGGCAATGGAGCATTACTTTGGGAAAGAAAGAAAAAGTTCAACTAATTTTGATCTCAAATGGGAATGGGTGGGGTTCGACAGCAACGACTGTAATAAGCAGAGCGATAGTTACTGCGATAGTTATATGCGTTGGATCCTGATATTATTCCCAGTGTATTCTGAGCGGTACACCACGTTGCTCATTGTCCACTGCCTGTCATATTTCGGTTCACTGCTTAGTAGGTGTGAGTGAGAGAGAGTTCGACTCGCTCAGAGCATAATGCCGCTATGCAAGGTGGTCCCCTCCCACAATGCGCTCTGTTCTCGGGTTCTGCTGCTGAGCTTCGTTTTGATTGCGTGTGTGTGAGCGTTGACCCGAAAGAGAGGGAGCACCTTGCATAATTGCATCATGCTCTGAGCAAGTCGTCGCTCTCCCTACTCTCTCATTCACACCTACACAGCAATGGGACAAGCAGTGTACGAGAGAAACCTTCCACCATTGCTCTAAGTTCTGTTTTAAGATTTCGGTGGCAATCGGATTTTTTCGCATGATTTGTCACCCCATTTTCCATTTCCAATAAGAGCGCACACAAAGAGAGAGAAACATACCTTATTAGAAGGGTGCTGGCTCTCATTAGCCTAGTTCTCCGCCGTTGTTAGAAAGAGAGAGCACTAGATTTGCATTTGGCACGTTCGCCAGGGGCAAACGAAGGGGCACACCTCGGACATAGCGGAGCTAAGCGTTCTTCTCTAGCCATTTCGCTTCCTTTTTGCACATTAAAAAAATATATTAATGTGTTTATAAAATATATACACATATTCATGCGTAAGCCACTTGTTCCACTGCACTTTCAAATACTTTTACGATCTGCCACTCACATTTGCTTGGATTTAATAAACACTTTAAGGCCAGTATTTGTTATATATTTCACTAACATAAACTGCGAGACTATATTTTCCGATTTTTACCGCTTTTTACAGCCAAAAGAACGCGGAGCTAAGAACAAACACGCGGGCGAAAACTTGAACTCAAAGCGAGCTGCGTGGGCGGTTTTGCACTCTCTCATTCCATTCTCTCATTCTGCTGCTCTTTCCAATTGCTCGCTCATGACGAAATCAGTTTTTTGTCTTTCTCCCATCACAGGCCGTCAGAGCGCTCTCACTAGTGCGTAAAAGAAGACCCGAAAAAAAGTTAGTCTGACCCATTAGTGAGAGAGTGCATACGGAGAGAGATGACACAAGAGAGCGCGCGTGTGTGGGCAAGAAAGAGATGCAGAAAATGAGTGTCTTAGAGCGATGGCTTGGCAATGCTCTGAGAGTAGGTGCGAAAAGATGAGTCGGGAGAGCGTAGTGCGTATGGTCTGCTCCCACACCGTTGCCCCGCGCCATTTTAATTGCGAGCATTAAACATTAAACATTATATTTTCAACACTTTGAATGCTTTTTTCTTCCAAATTTCTTTGCGATGGAGAGAAATGGTAAATGGGCACTCATTTCCATTTAAAATTGGGCAACGTAACCATTCAAAATTCCAATTCGCTGCGGCAGAGAGAGAGAGATATGTATGACGGACAAGTGTAAGGCAGAAAATTTCCATAGATCTTCGGTGGTGTGAAAATCTCAGTTGGCCGCACTTGCGGCCACATCTTGCCGCATCAATCAGCGGCGGCAGCTTAAATGCTGCATCATGACAAAACCATTACACTTGACCAGGCTCAAAGTGCAGGCAGGCAGGAGGCATGGAGAAAAGAGACTCTGAAGAGCGTCGGCAGATGCTCAGATGACTAGGCTTCTTGGCCGTGATTGATTGATTGGCAGCGTGAGGTGAACCTGGGCAACCCGACTGATGCTTTTGTCTAAAAGCCGTTTAGAATAACACCAAAACGAGCAGAGACCCAGACCCAGACCCAGAGCCAGACTCAGAGCCATAGTAGAGTCCGGTCCGGGCCAGCAGCGCGAAATTATTCATTGCATTGGGAGATAAACCAAAAAGACGAGAACAGAAATAATGTTTAATCTGCGCAGTGCACCCTCACCTGGCCTTATCTGAAACATTCCCGTACACTGAGAGAAAAGGAAGGTGGCCTTCTCTTCGTTGCAATCGTGGCTACTGGTAATCCCAGACACCCTTTTCTCCCCGTGTGCGAGAGGAGTCATTCTCATACCGGAGGATCACCGCCGCCACCGCCGCCAGCCGTCGACTTGATTGCGCCTTCATTATTATGCCAAACTGTGCGCTGGCATTCGTTGAATTCGGCTTTTGCAATTTGCTCTCAATGCCGACCTGCCTCCTTTCGGCCATTACCAGACCATCCTTCTCCGGCTTCAGCTCCAGCTCCAGCTCCATCGTTTTGGGGGCATTAAAAATGAGCTCGAAGTAACAGGTGGATGCCGATGCCAATGCCAATGCCCGTGCCGACGATGCTCGACGTGATTTTCGCCAAATCGTTTAGATTATTTCGAGATTGCTTGCGCCAGTCGATCGACAGTCTCTCCTCCACGAGTCTTGGCACTCCTTCAGTCCATGGTCGATAGTCCGCACCTTGCATTTGAACTTGAAACATTTCATTTTTTCTGTTTTCTGTTTTAGCTGGGGGCGAGCATCCACCATCCACCATCCAGCATCCACCATCGAGCAACCAGCAAGCAATTCCTTGGCTCAGGTCCGATCGATTAGTGGCATTCTATTGCGTTCAATTTTCCATGTGCAACATTGAAGCCTCTGTCGCTGTCGCTGCCTCTGTCGCTGCCGCTGCCATCTCCATCGCCGTTGCCGCTGGCACAATAAACACGCGATTTATTTCATGCCAAGCATTCAAGTGCCGCCTCAGTCGGTCAAAGCCGAGGAGGAGCCCAGTCCGAGTCCCAGGACCGGCCTGGACTGGACTGGACCTTGCCTTGCGTTGCCTTGGCTTGTGGTATGTGATAATGGGATGATGGTATGATGATGCATGGCCAGCATACACAACAACAGCAGGAGGAAGACAAGGGGAGCAGCGAGGAGCAGCACAGAACATGGGATACCCTACATCCCTACTCCATCCAGCAGTACTTCGAGGAAAGGCCTATGCTTTCCCTGTATCTCACGATACAACCTTCTCTTCGTAGTCGGGTGCATCGCCGACTGATCCAAAGGGTATGCACAACAGTAATAATAGCTGCCCACTATTCGATTTTTTGCCTCTTTAACTAGCGACCAAGGTTAGTCGCTGCCTCACTGGCAACAACTTGCAACAACTATTGGTGGCTCCGTCTCCGACTCCAACTTCGACTCCGACTTCGACTCTGCCGCATTTTAGTCGGTAATTGCTTGTGATGTATGATTTTGAGTTCTAGTTTTCCTGCCTCGAATCCAGTCGACTCTGCCACGGCCTGGGAATATTTCTGAGCCGGCCGGAGCTTTTGTTGTTCGGCTGATTGCTGACGATGCCTATATATGCGGGTGATGTATGTTATATAGCCAGGCTACAGGTATAAGCTATAGCCATAGATATTGATTTGGCAGCCGCTGGATGCGGATGACCACGACGCTGACGCTGACGCTGACGCCGATGATGTCACACTTTCTAAGCCAGGGCCCCGGCCAGAGAGCACTTTCACCCAATTAGAGTACGATATGACCGAGTATTGACCATGGCCATTATGCATACCTACTCGTATATGCAAAATATGCATGCCTGCCCCTTCCCCTGCCCCTGCCCCTTCCCCTGCTACTGCCCTGCTCTCCCGATGACAATCTTTTGTTTTCACTTCTGCAGAAACAAAAGCCATAAAGGATAAATTGTGAGCTGGTAGCCGCGCATTGAACTCTTGGCTTCGACAAGTGCACAGCGGGGCGTCTGTGGAGCCCAGAGCAGATTTCCGATATCCTACGCCCGAAAAACAACCGCCGTAGAGCCCGTAAACCCGGGCAATTTTGTTTTCATTGTGAGCTAAATGGAATTGACCAAGGTGATCGTATCGCCTTATTGTTTGCCTTTAACAATTGGGCCAAGTCCCCGAGCTCCGAGCTTCTATCGTTCGCATGATTGATTGAGCACTGGTTGGGGCTCGGAGCGGGGCAGAACCACTACCAATATTCTTTACATGAAAACAATTTCTCCCCCACCTCAGAGCAGAAGTGACGTTGAGCTATGCGATGTCTTCTCCGTTGTTTTCGTAGTGCTTTTCATGCCATTTCGATACGGGCCTCATTTTTCTTGCCACAATTAAGAAGAAAGTTGGCAGCAATTAGAAAACGCACATCGATCAAAGCTGCCTGCCCATGCTCCCCACTCCATGCTCCCCCCTCTCCCTGCTTTTGTGTCTGACTGTACAGGTCTTCAACAGGATGAGGAGGGGGCTGCTACCCCATCCCCAATGCTTGCTCATCGATAAATGAGTAGGCCTCTGCTTCCCCTTCATTTCAAATACTACCATACGACCCTCCCACTGGATACATTCAAAATTCCAGACACAGTCAGAACTCCCTCGAAATGTCAGAGCCTGGCTCAAGCAAGGACCTGCCCGGGGCCATGGAGAAGGCCCAGGTCTTGCGGCAGGAGATAAGCCGCAGCTCGCGGGAGATAAGCTTCAACTTCTGGCAGGAGTTCGAGCGGATTCGCGCCGTCCAGATGCAGCGCCTGCTGCAGGAGCGCCAGGAGCGGGAGCGGATCAGCAAGCTGATGGTGGCTGCCAACGCGGAGGCTCATCAGCTGACGGAGGCCTTGAGTCGGTCCATAGTTACGCAGGGCGTGAGCCTGGAGACCCTGCCGCAGCCGGCCATCGCCAACAAAGAGGACCCTGGAGCGGGCAAGAAGACTCCAGCCGCTCCACAGCCTGCGACGGATACAAAGAGGCCCCTCCACACAGGCGTAGGGGCAGTCGCGGCTCCCAGTCTGCTCCCCCAAAGGCTGCGGGCTCAAAATCAGCGCCTTCAAATGGCCAACAAGCCCAAGGCCCCGCCAAAGCCCATTCTTAAGCCAGCAGCCAGGCCGCCAGCAAACCGGGGCTCTCCTGCGCGTGTGGGGAGTGCTCCGGTCAGCAACAGGACCCCCAACAGGCTCTCCGCGAACCCCCAAAAGGGGGCAAAGCTTTCCGGCTCGAAGACCACGCCGGACATAGCGAAGAGTCGTCTGAGAAAAACTTACAAGAAAACACACTAAATAGTACACAAGTTTTGCTGGAACTGCAATCCCCAATCCCCATATGTTCTTACTGGATTCATTGGTTTAAAAAATACACCATAACCTATAAAAAAGTAAAGCTTTTGCACGCCTCTGCCTGCGCCTGACCCTACAGCGTAATCTCTGTTAATGGTAACAGCTGTAACAGGGCAACAGCGCTGTTAACAGCCCAGGCTATAGGCCTGTTATCGATGCTGTGTACCGCGCTTAGTTAACAGCCAGTTAACAGCGCTCTCTGCTCTCTCGGTTCTGTGCGCTCTTAAGCTCCCCTCTCACCGTTTTCGTAGCTCGTAGCTTTCGTAAGCTCTAGCTTTTCCCATTCATCGCCGGAAACCCGCCCCCGCCCACAAACAATGTCATAATTACTGATCATCGCGTACCACCCCAGCGATGATGAATCCATCTTTGCGAGATCTGTGCCCCGCATAAACCGAAAAAAAAACTCCAATCGAAAAGCGACTGACAAATGCCACCCGGCGCGCACTTTGCAGTACAAATTCCGACTAAAACATACACCAGCAAGAAATACCACCAAAAATCAACTTTGGTGGGGGGGAAAACTTGCAAATTAATTAACGGTACACGGGCCCCCATACTCCGAGGCGATGGAGATCCCAAAACAAGCCAGACACGCACTCCAGACACCTGAGTAATCAGCATTATGTGGGCATGGCATCGACTCGCTGACGCGGCTGCTGGTGCTTGTTGTTGTTGTTGCTTTTCGATAAATCACGGATAAAAAACAATCAACGAAAATGTAACGTTATTCATCACAGGTGGTAAATATTTCAAGCCGAGGCTGACAACAAACGCGCGCCGAGCACAAAAGTATATTCATGCCTCATGCCTCAGGTCCAAGGCGTTGGCTTGGCTTGGCTTGGCTTGGCTGGGAGTCTCTGTATTCTCCGATTTCCGATACTTAACAGAGTACGATACGTATTCGGACGATTTCTGGGTCAGAATAATTAATAAGCGCGGGCCATGACGGGGCCGAAAACAAAGCATTTGCAGGGATCCGCTGGCGGAGTCGCTGGAGTCTCGGTTTTGTCGTCGCTCTGGCACATGCACACCAATAATCAATCAAAACGTCTTGAACAAATCACTCGAATCGCATGTGCAACTACCAAAAAAAACACCAGCAAAGACAAAAGATTACAGAGCCGACGACTGACTGACTGACAAACTGACTGACTGGCAAGTTTGGCAACTCCGCAGAACTGTGATGGACAACAGTCACGATTTGCATGTGCGACAACTGTTGCCAGACCAACGAAGCAAGCCAGCTAGCCAGCAAGCCAGCCAGCCCCCAACAAGCAACATCCAAGCAGCAGCAGTGGCAACAAATCGCGGGGCACATTGAACTGTCATTGACACGGGCCAGACTCCAAGAGAACGCCAGAGCGAGAGTCGGAGACCGGAGACTGGAGACACCTGTAGCCGCAGCAGAAGTTGAAAGGCAAAAGGCGAACCGTACTCCCGCGCACAGTGGTTGCCGCCTGGCATAAACCCCAATGAAAAGTGTCCAGGAAGAGTATATAAAAAGGGACCTTCTTTGGTAAGGAGACTCTTTAGGCTATAGAGCTTCCAATCGATGCGATATGGGGCCACAGATCACAGATCTCCGAGAATAAACCACTCGTATGGGGATGCCAAAGGTCCTTCATTCATTCACTTATAATTCATTTATTTTTTAAGCGGGTCAAACCACAATTTAAGTGACGTCTTGCACTTCTTTCTTCAGATCCCATAGAAGACTCTGAAGAGTGAGTGCCTGGAACCACTGTGCCCGCCCGTTCTGGGTTTCTTTGGGGTTCGTTTGGTGGGTGCGGCGGTGCCAGTAGCTGGACCCCAGCCCCCACCCAGCACTGCACTGCCACACAGCGGACTCTGGGGCCAATTACTGCAAACAAATTCGAATGCGAATGCGCATTGAAATTGTGGCAAGGTTGGTAATTTAAGACTCACGCCGTGACAGAGAGCGGGATGCCCGCCACAGAGCGACAGAGACAGAGACAGAGTCACTGTTGCATTTGTCCGAGGGAAATCCTCCACGTCCGACCTGTACCGCCCCCGTCCGTCCCCCGCCCCCGACCCGCTCTGTCCAGGTGATTGAATTGCTGATTTAACGGTTTCTGTTGTCAAATTAATGGCATTCATTCATTCCAATCCCCGCCTGGCCGCAGACCGGGCCCAAAACGGTAGTTTTTATGGCCGCACTGGCAAATTGCAGCGCGTGTTATTACGAGTATTGTTGCAACAACATTACAGTGCCCCTGCCACTGCCACTGCCACTGTTGTCATTGCTGTTATTAATGCAGTTATTAAATACCTACAACTGCCGCCGAACCGAGCCAAGCCGAGCCGCACCGCCAAGAACGTGCCCCAAACGGGGCGCGCTGAGGGATAGCCCGGGTTCACAGCTGGGTGTCAAAGTGCAAAAGTTGAGTGCAAAGTTCTTGTCATTATTTGTTTGCGGCTTGTAGCCTCTGTTCTGCTCTGTTCTGCTCCGTTCTGCCACTGCCTCGGATTTTCCTTGCAAAAGTGAAAGGAAACGCAAATCCGTTCTGGGCCGCCTTGGGTTTAAGGCTTAATTAATGGCTCTTTTATATAATTTAATTAGTTGTTAATGATTTGCTGATTGGACTGGCGAGGGTGGCGCTCGGTGGCGGCCCCCCATGAATCAAATGCTAACCAGACCGAGTGCCCAGGGGCTTGGCAGATGGCAGATGTCAGGGTTGCCCCGCCAAGGGGCCGACTCTTCGACTCTCTAATGGCCCCGTCATGACTGGCGCCGACTAATGGCCAGCAACTGGCTCAAAAGCTGAAGAATTGTCAACTGTTTTTGGGAGCAGAGATATGGATATGGATACGATTAAAGGATGCAGATTTATTACGATCATTTGTTTTATTCTATGGCCTTTTAAGCACATATGTTCGCCATTTGATGCTGATTTCTTAAGAAGGTTATAGAAATACATTTATTTGGACAAAACAATATCGAACACACGTCCTTTGTGCCATTTTGGGGGCATGGAGTGCTCCCAACAAGCCCCTCCTTCTTCTATAATACGGACTAATGGGTTAATCCATCGATTATAGTCAGCTGTGCACCAGTGGAGTATTAAAATGGATGTAAATGGTAAAGATCTATAATACACTAAGTATATAGTGGACTGTAATGCAAGGATGGCAATAGAAGGATCCCGGCAATAGAAACCCTAGAGGTTGATAGCCATGGTAACCCTTCTCTCCCCAGAGCAGGGTTGTAAAAGGTAACCTAGGAAGCCCCCTAGGAGCCACTTGTCAGTATCAATGAATGCAGTAGGTATCTTCTAGTTATTCTTCCATCTATAAATATACGAAAAAACCCCCTAAAAAAGCAGAATGGCAACAATTTGGGATCCTTGAAACTCCAGAAACCCCAAAGACTGTATTCTGCCAGAAAAGCTGTACTCCAAGCCAATAGCTAATCATATTTGATGCCAGTTCCTCCCACGCCTCCCCTACGACTTGCCATTGACCCAAAGCTCCCGCTGCTCCCCCCGCTGCTCCCCCCGCTGCGCCGCTGACTAACCTGCCCCAAAAAGAGACCAAGTTGAGGCCAAATCAAACATGGCAGGCTAGACAAAATGCTTGTTCGTTTCGCACAAATCCCCCGAAAACTAAATCGACAGAAAAGCAGCAGCCCGTCATTGGGCATTCGGCGTGCGTAGCGCATAAATAATATTGGACAAAAATGTTGGAAAAACTTGTCACAATTTCAGCGATTGCGTGGCCAAAAAAGTGCACCATTTGAAGGCTCTTATAATATTTATCGGAAAGCGATTTCCTCGCCAATTAGTCAAGGCTTATGGGGGCGTTGGGCGAGCGCTTAGCAGTGGCATGGAAATTGCCGCCAGATGGGCCGCAGATAGGCGACACATGGGGCACCGGCACCCAGCCGATAAGGTGGATCGGGGCGGCTTAAGCGGGAGCGACCTGTCAGTGCTATGTTTGATTGATTTCGACTCAATACGGTTCGATTCCATGCCATTCAGTGCGCCCCCGGGTCCAAGTCCAAGTCGATACCCATTCCCATTCCCCATTTTCGAAAGCCAGATGCAAAATAGCCGCACATTCGAGTGTCTGTCTGCCGCAAAATGCAATCGTAATTCAAGTGCCCCACATTAGGAATCGAAATCCGTGTCTGGCTATCGTTTTCTGCGCATTTTATTGCCACGCCGCGGCAATAATCTAAATGCTCATATCAAAAACGCATGTCGGGAGCCACGCCGAGCCCCAAAACCCAACCGAAAGCCATCACGATGGCAGTGGCACACGCAACGGAAAGGCGGACAGGAAGGGAGCAGGGATCAGGGACCAGGGAGCAGGGAGACTCCGCCAGGAGTCTGCTCTTGGCTGCTCTTGATTTTGTGTGTGTGTTTTCTGAGCAAAAGACTCACTGTTGTGTCGCTGCCGTAACTCAATATTAACCACTTACACGTTAATTTAGGCACAAATTGAATTAATAAACCATGTTCGACATTGTGTGCGGTCCAGGGAGACCAACTCCTTTTCATATTTCATTAATTTATGCACGGAGCACAGAGCACGGAGCACGGCTCAATGAACCACGAAAACAAGCGGCTGGACGGCAGAGCCGGAGAACGCACCTCTACCCAGCGATCGACGGGCCGAAACGGCAACCAAAATTTGAATTTACAAGCACGTAACCTGTGCGAACCCTCTCCTTCCCCTCCCCCCCTGGACACCCCACCCTGCTGGCTTCCTTCTCTCTGTCTCTCTCTTGGCCAAATGTTGACGTGATTGGCTTTGAATTTGGTTCCTTTCGGTTCCACTCGCTTGTAAATTAGAACACGATCGAAAATGTTGCCTCCACAATTTGCATGTCGCTGCTCCCCATAAAAATGAGACCCCATGACGATGGACAGCCCCCCACCTCCCTCCCCCTCCCCACCCCTCGTCTGCCATGGAACCCCACAATGCTTGCTGACCCGCGGCTACAGGAGGGGTGCTGCAGAGGCAGAGGCAGGGCAGGAGGCAAGTTG